GTACCCAGCTGTGAAGCGGCAAGCTATCACAGCCGGGTGCCCACACTGAAGATGCCGGCCTCCTGGAATACAGGACGGCTGGTAAAACGGGCTGCAGGGGACACGCCGCCGCAGGACCGAGGGACAGGTAAGTGGCTGTTTTTTTTTTTTTTTTTTTTAAAAGTCAGCAGCTACAGTTTTTGTAGCTGCTGACTTATTTTTTGACAGCGTGAGTGGAGCTCCACTTTAAATGCCTTTTCTCTTGGCATTTTGGCAGAAACAAAATACTTGACACATGTAAATGCGTTTGGGAACGGCAAGCGCTTGAGGGTTAAGTCATTTCATTGGCCAGAATAAATTCACGCCTTTATACATGTCAAGCATTTTCTGCCCAAATTCTGCTGCTTCTGGATGCATCAGCAGTGCGTTTTTTTTTCTGCCTCTAAACACCTATGTGTGCATGTACACATACATTAGGCGAACGTGGCTAAAAAAAAAAAAAAAAAAAAAAAAAAAAACACACCACACCAGACACCTCTAAAAGCAGCACTTTTAACACTAGTGTGCACGAGGCCTAAAAATCAAGGTAAAAAAGACACACAAGTATTGCTCACTTGTAGCAGCAGCTTCAAAATCTTATTGCATAGAGTTTTTAGCAAGAAGGCAGATACCAGAGGATTAGAATACCTGAATGCTTTTGGTACTTTTTTTCCGATCGTAAACATCTGGCACCAACATAAAGCACGAGGTTTTAATCTAAAAGTAATACATAAGAAACCCATGCAAGGAATGTGGATATGGCCCAGGACTGGCCAATCCACGATCATATTATACAAAGACAAAATCAAAAGGATTCTTTAGATAAGATTTTGATCTATGAGACAAAGTCAGCCTAACAATCTACATCTTGCAAGAATAAATGGAAGGTCTATGTGGTACAGATTAGAGGATATTGATATTATATTTGCCATTTGGATTGCCATTAGGTGGTTGGATAGTACAGACAGGAGAATAGTAAGATATTGGATTCTGATGTCAATTATACTGCAGGTCATGCTTATAGCAAATGTTTGAGAGAAAAAGTAGTACAGCAAGCACAATATGGCCACTTACACTGTTGATTTATGGACATTGACTGGGACGTAAAAAAAAACAAAAAAAAAACACCACACTACATTTATATTCACCTAGGTGGCTGCAGCATCAATCTGATGCTGCATCTGTCCCCTGCCGGCACTGCACTAAGAACTGCCCCTCTGGAGCACTAGACTGTGGAGGGGGTGAGAGGGGCTGACTTAGGCTTTCAGCATATTGCTGAGGGGCTGAGCCAGGTGTCAGTCCAGGCTTTTGGGTGGACCAGCTTTAGCCCACTGTTGGCTGAAAATGGGTCACAGAAGTGCAGAACTAACTGCACACCTGTAATCCATAGATGACTATATACTTCTATAAACTACAAAGTGCTTTGTGGATATGAGAATTCCAAAACATGATGAAATATATTGCTTTAATGTGATGAAAAGAAGTTTTAAAAAGTATATGCCACCTATCAGTAAAGAAGGGCTGACCAAGGCCTGTATGCACACTTGCAATCAGAAGTGAGGATTTAAAGGCCAACATCTGAGTCACTGGCTTATACATACACTTTACCTAACAGGTTTTTATAAAATGTGGCAGGACAATCCCAACAACAATAAAGCGGACAAAAAATAATAATTCTACATACCCCTTGTTATTCTTTTACAGAGGAACTTTAGCAATTACCTGTCAAAGGACAAAATATGTGAGCTGCCATTAATTACTTGTTTTAGAACATGCAAGACATGGGGCCCAAATGCTTGTTGGAATTTGAAGCCTGTGAACGTGTTGTGGAGTCAGCAACTCAAGAAAATTGAACATTCAGCCCAAATTTTTTTTTGTAGCACCAGGCGTTGATGAGCCCTTCTCACTAGAACAGAGGATGGGACAGATAAAGCCAGCAATCACTGTTTAAAAGGTTCTAACCCTTCAGACTTAAATATGAAACTTTTATTGGCATTCACCTTCTCACTTAAGAAATCTCATCTTACTTCTTGTGCCAACGACCACAAGTCACAGGACAGGATACTAGGAAAAAAGTTTCCAAATTAGCATTAAAAAAAAAAAAAAAAAAAAAAAAAGTTTGACAGGATCTCCACTTTAAGTAGTGAGGCAAGGATGAGGAAAAACTGCCATGGAGAAATCATTTTCAAGTCAGCACTGGCAGCTCATATTTCTATGACTTGGCAAGTTCCCTTTAAATTAAAGATGCATCAAACCACTGACCAACCCTTGTGGCCATCCTTACAAAAAAAAAAAAAAAAAAAAAAAAAAAAAAAAAAGAAGAAGTACAAGAAAAAAAAAAAAACCAACCCAAAAACGTGGGTTAGGCAGCACAATGGCACAGCTTCCTAAAGACCTGTAAGCAGAATTTATTCACAGCCCTGGACAGAAAAGAAAGTGCATCAAGCTCAAAGGCGGCAAAAAAATTAAGCAAAAACAAAAAATATAAAAAGTCAGTGCTACGTGTGGCGGTAGACGGCCAGCAAAAGGATTAAATATACAAACACTAAATAATCAATAAAATTGCAAATGCAGTGCCAAATCATGTACATAAAATAACTCACTCAGTGAAAGTAGTATGTAAACATATTACGGTGATTAGGGACTTCATTATTCTATATCCATCACAGTAAAAAAAAAAAAAAAAAAAAAAAAAAAAAAAAAAAAAAGGAAAAAACAACATGTAGAATAAACACAAGAAAGTCCACAGAGAAAATGATATTGTGATTCGCAAAGTCTGTAAATTAAAGACAGTTCCCAAGAACTTGCTTTTCATGTGAGTTTCTGTTGTAGTTTTATCTGATTGCTCAAATTCCATTACTGACGTTTTAATTGATTTTAATGAAAAAATACTGCACTATGGCCTTATTTTGTCTGCTCCTTATGTGAGCACATCCATGCTGTTGTACAGGTCCATCAAGACCAGGGAGAGTAGAGGTGCTTTCAAGCCGTCACAGACAAATCTTGTTTGGCTGATAAGAGAGCTGCTCAAGAGATCAGTAGGATATGCTGTGCACTTTTCAGCTTCTGCTTCTGGTGAGTGCTGAATTCACCCGGTTGTAGGGTGTAGAAGATTTGGTGCCAATTTTAATTGATGGTGGTTGACAATTTTGGAACAGACTTGTTACACACGACGAAAGTATATTGCATTTCTAAACTTTGCGGATCACAATATAACATTTTCTTTGTAGACCTTCTTGCACTATACGTATGTTTTTTCATTGCGATATGTAACACTGAAGTCATTCACATTATTATTTATTATGTTACACAGCATATGGTTGGGCATCACATTTTCAATTTTACAAAAAAACAAAAAAAAAAAAAACACACTTTAGATTGAAGCATCATTTGCATTATAATTGCATAATGACTTATGTACCCATGGCATATGCCAAATTATAAAAAAAAAAAAAAAAAAAAAAAAAAAAAAAAAAAAAAATTTATATATAGGCAGTGAAAAACCAATGGAGCATGCACCATACAGTAACCCTTACCAACCAGATTTACACTTGCCATAGTCAAATCAATTAAACATATAATTTCTTGTTGTTTGCTATGGGCTTAAAAAGGAGAAGTTCACCTTTCAGAACATGTTACACCCATATTCAGGATGTATCATGTATTAGGTTACAAATGCAACTGCCCCTGCACCTCCCCGATCCAGTTGACAGCGACCGGAGGGCTGGAATCTTCTCCCACTGCTCACTGTCACAGTTTAAGAATAAAATGCAGCTTTGCAGGGCTTCTCCTTCATTCACAGAGTCTGTGGCTGTTGGCTTGAAGTTCTCAATGAACTACCAAGGGTGCTGTTGAGAGCTCTAGGTAGGTCATGGATTCTTCCTGTCCGTGTGCAACTGCCTGCTCGTACGAGGTACAAGCAGACAGCTTACACTGACAGTCTGCAGGCACCTCACATTGCACTTGTGATCTGCTGATTGTGGATGCAATGCTTTGCAGGCTCATAGTAAAAAAAAAAAAAAAAAAAAAAAAAAAAAGGTAGGATAGATAGAGATAGATATATATAAATAAAAAATCCTTTAATGCACGTTGCCATTTGCGCTTTGTATTATGCTTTCCAATAGTTAAAAATTTAAATGAAAGCATTTTTAATCATTCCGTGAAGCAAACTTACTCATGCATGCAGAGCCCTTGATGAAAGGATGAGATTCGCAAGGAATGAGCATCCATTTATGAAACCAACCTTTAAGAAATAAGGTATGGTTAAAAAAAAAAAAAAAAAAAAAACAAAAAAAAAAAAACCCACCATACCAGGAGTTGGGATATAACAAATACAGGAGGCCAAAAAAAAAAAAAAAAAAAAAAAAAAAAACCGAACAGTTTAGTTATAAAAAGGAGCTACATAGAAGATCAACCTGTAAACTTATTATTAGAAAGAAAGCATATGAAATTAAAAAAGTACTTTAAGGAAAACAAAATTATAATAAAAGCTTTTTGTTTTCAGAACAGTCCCTTTGGGTTTATTGACCCTTCCATTGCATGGCTAATGGGGTATCAAACTGCATTTCAGGATCAGTCACTGATCATTCTGCTAGTGTGAATCACCCCATACAAGAGTGTTTCATTATTCTCAAACATTGTACTACCATAATCACACATGTATGAAAGCTTGTGTAGTTTTACTACACAGTTACATTCTGACACAGGAAAAAAACAAAGCAGGACACGAATATCCAATCAAAAAGCATTTAACGGATTATCTTAGCCAATCAAATCAGTTTATCAAATTAAAAAAAATCCCTTTTAAATTGTAATAGGGTCTGGAACACCAGAGCTGCATGAACATTAGCAGATTGTGAATCTGGATCACTGCTAACTGTTGCCAGTTGATATTTCAGGATCTGCAATACAAGCTTTTCAACTTTGATAATAAATGGTTGCTGGAAGAACAGTCAGTCACTTGTCACATCTGAGAAAATAATTCAGTTCCACCTGATGAGGATAGGATCAAACTTCCAGAGGTCAGGGTGACCCATATGCATGAGGTTACTGAATGGAGAAGTGCTCCACTGAAAAGGAGGAACCTGGTACCATGTGGGGCCATTAACTGCAAGCATCATATGCTCCTTTGCAAACTCATAACTGGTGACCTGTGAAGAGAGCGGAGGATATTTACCCATGAAAGATCAATTGCATTAAACAAGTCCTCACAACACTATGAACACATTAGTGGGTCTTCACCAACCTTCATATCAGTGCCACCATGCTGCCTCTGGCGCATAGCTCCAAAAGGGTAAGTACCATTGGCTAGATTGAGATCAGAGCGGGCAGAAATTGCATTCTCTCCATTTGGCTTTGGTTCACAACTTGAGCAGAGTGAAAGAGGATCATTCAGGAAGTTATTGTACCTGAAATTTGAAACAGCCAATCACAGTATGTTCACCAGAGACCTACTAAGCAGGCAACTGTATTTTTACTTCATAAATAGAATGCATATTGCAACAGATTCTTCTGCCATATAGAAGTTGAAAAAAGCAAAATCAATTCAAATGCCAGAAAGGAAAATGCCCCATTTCAAACTGGGGCTGTGGCTTCCTTACCTCATGAGTTTTACCATAGATGGTAGATCCTCCACAAGAGTGTGATTCCTCCTGAATATCTGAGCCCTAGGAGTTTTGGAATAACTGAACCAGTCTCCAAATTTTTTCACAAGATCAGGCTGGCCACTTGCATTAAATATATCACTGAAGTATCTGTGTAAAGGGAAGACAGATTTATTATTTATTACAAAAGTACTTATATAGCTCCGTCAGTTTACACAGTGCTTTACATATATTGTACATTCACATCTGTCCCTAACCCTCAAGGGGCGTACAATCTAAGGTCCCAACTCACATTCATACATACACATACTAGGGACAATTTAGACAGGATCCAATTAACCTTAACAGACCATTACGACATTACAGATTCAATTCCATTTAAAAGTGCTAATCAATGTAACATTTTTACAGAGAAACGCACAACCCTCTCCAGAACAACATGCACTGCAAGGCAATGGACAAGCTGTTCCATCACTACCACATGCATTCCAGTCATTTCCTACTTTACAAATGTTAAGGGGGGGTGGGGTGTTTATTTAAACAAATCAAATGCCACTGGTACCGGGAAACTGGTACCAAGGTAAGTACAGTGAAATAACAGTTATAGGTGTCCCCAGCGTTCCTCAGGTTCAAGGATGACGCAAAGTTATATTACACACACACACACACTTTTCCTTTACTTCAATTAAACCATGCACGTACAATGGATATTAAAAAAAAAAAAAAAAAAAAAAAAAAAAAAATCTACACAACCTTGTTAAAAAAGGTCAGGTTTCTGGAATAGAAAAAAAAAAAAAAAAAAAAAAAAAAAAAAAGTTACACAAAGATAAAGTCATTTCAAAACTTTCCACCTTTTTAATGTAACCTATAGAACGGTACAATTCAGTTGAACAAACTGAAATCTTTTAGGTGGAGGGAAGTAAAAATAAAAAACTAAAATAATATGGTTGCGTAAGTGTGCACACCCTTAAATACTTTGTTGATGCACCTTTTGATTTTATTTGATTTCATCTTTCAGCATGACAATGACCCCAAGCCCCGGTTCACATATATGCGGCAATGCGGGCCGCGTTTTGCACGGGCACGAGAGCCCATTCATTTTAATGGACTCCGGTGCCCCGTGACACACAGAGAAGTCGTCCCTGCACTTCTGAAAACGCAGTCCGCACAGGAACCTCTTTTCCCAGTATGGTTGCGTTTTCCAGTGCGGGCGGCGTGCCATTAGAACTAATGGCACCCGCACGCGGGTCTGCATTCCTCTGTGCGGCTGCATGGGATTTTCCTGCGGATCCGGAGCGGCACCACCCGCACAGATATGAACCTAGCCTAAAGCTTACATCGAAATCAAAGGAATGGCTTCAACAGAAGAAGATTCAAGTTTTGGAATGGCCCAGCCAGAGCTCGGACCTGAATCATACCCAAAAAGACTGAGTGCTGGAATAAAATAAAAAAAAAAAAAAAAAAAAAAAAAAAAAAAGTGCTTTTACTTCCCTACACCAAAGATTTCAGTTTGTTGTTCAACTGAATTGTACAGTTTTATAGGTTACAATAAAAAAGGTGGAAAACGTTCTGAAAGGATTTAATCTTTGTCTCATCTTTTACATCACAGAAACCTGACATTTTAACAGGGGTGTGTAGACTTTCTATATCCAATGTATACTTACGGAACATTGTAGCTGGGCCAGTATGAGCTCTGATAGAGGAGATCTGATTTATCAGCCCAAGTCATCAAGCCTCTGAAAGAAACAAAACAAAAATAAGAAGAGGAAAAACACAAAAAACTACACGAGCTTACACGTTACCATACATAGAACTTGTGACCATTAACCGCTTCCCGACCGCCCTATAGCAGAAATACTGCTACAGGGCAGCACGGGTGCATGCAAGCCCTACCCGTTCTGCCATTCGCAGGCGTCAATCACTGGGTCCCGGCTGGTGATTACTCACCGACGCCCGGTGATTTCCAAGGATCTCTGACGGGGAGGAGAACTGTTCTCCCTGTCAGCTCGGGCACACGGCTTTGGATGGCTGTGATTACAGTGAAGCACACTGACACTGCCCCCTAGTAAAACACTCCCAGCACACAGTTAACCCTCATGTTAACCCCTTCCTCCCTAGTGCCATTAGTACAGTGTACGTGCCTTTTTTTTTTTTAGCACTGACCACTGTATTGATGTCACTGGTAATGTCAGTGACACCAAGTCAGTTCCCCCCAGTGTCAGAATGTCCACTGCAGTAACTCTATAAAATCGCTGATCGCCGCCATTACTAGTAAATTTAAAAAAATGAAAAAATAAATAAATATCCCAGTATATATACACACCGCTATTTGTAAACGCTATAACTTTTACATAAACCAATTAATTTACACGTATTGGGATTTTTTTCTTCTAGCAAAAACATGTAGCTGAATACATTTTGGCGTAAATTTGAGTTGAGTTTTAAAATTTTTTTTTTACTGAACAGGTTTAATAGCAAAAAGGTCAGAAATATTGTTCTCAAAAAATAAAAACCACACACTACACAAGCGATCAAATACCACCGAAAGAAAGATCAATTTGGGGGGGGGGGGAGAGAAACGTAAATTTCATTTGGGTGCAGTGTTGCATGACCACGCAATTGTCAGTTAAAGTAACGCAGAGCCGTAATGCAAAAAATGGCCTGGTCAGGAAGGAGGGCAAATCCTCCGGAGGGCACGCGGTTAAATAACAGGGAATAATAATAAATAATATTTCAAATGTATTACATTTTTGCATTGCAGCCTGCAGAGCACTGCAACCATGATCGTGTGTGCAATACACAGGCTCTTGCATAATGTTCCCCCAGGGCCAGCTGAGTTGAAGACCTATGGTGATGGGGCTAGAAGTAAACAATGGAAGTGCGGTGTCACACACTTTTGCCTGTCATATAACACCCCAATATGGAGGCCTAACAGGCCTGAGCTATGTGGTCTCCCAGGTGACTGATTTTTATTTCTCCTAGCTCCATGACTAATATTCCAATGGACATTACTAATCCTGCTGTATATGTTTGTTATTGTGAAGTCATTTGTATAACCGGTCTTTTCTGTACCAATGTATCAGATCTAGGTATATTTTCCCACTCTTGTTTAAAATTTGAAAAGCAATAAAAACTAAGATTATACATAAAGTAGAACTAAAGTGGCAATTTAAAAAGAAAAAAAAAAAAAAAAAAAAATGCAGACAGGTAAGTTTTTTTTTTTTAATGACAGAAGAGAGCCTCCCTAGGTCTCTTCTGTAATTATGTTCTTTTTCATGCCAGTATACATGAAGCCATACACAGCTTAGTATACAGAGCTTCTCCATGGCCACGCTAAAGTGCCAGTCTCTGTGTTGCCTCCCAATGTGTAAATGCATGGTTTGTGAGCTTCACAGGAGGATAAACTAACTTGCTCTGTTCCTGACTGTACTAAGTAATATGTGTTGCATTATTCACTTATATAAAAATATAATATTCTAAGGTAGGTTCACATCCAAAGTGTGAACTGAATGAGACTAAGCATTTAACATCAGAACCCCTTCCAAGTAGGCCATTACCAGATGGTCAACGTGTGTGAGGTAACAGACTGGTTATTTTTTTTAAACAAATTACCAATCCTGTAAGTTTTGAATGTCCACTCCCCCCCCCTCCTTTCCATTTTAAATATAGCCTTCTTTCTTGTTCTGCAGTGCTGTCCTCAATTCACATACTCATCATCTGATCAGCAACTCCAAGCTGCCATACAAACCGGGTCCCAAACTGCCATCTACTTCTGGGTTCAAGCAGCTGACAACCAATGACATCAGCAGCTCTGCCCTCTTATCTCTGCTCCAGCAGCCCCTGCTATATGTGATGGGGATATCCCAGGAGGCTGTGGGAGCAAGGACACACCATTCTCACATAGGCGAAAATGTCACTAGAAAGGACATTTTTAAAAAGATTACAAAAACACTGGCGTTTTAAACAAGGCTGCAGGGAGGGCAGCACAGTGGCTAAGTGGTTAGTACTTCCACCTAGCAGAACTAGGGTCGTCTGTTAGACTGAACCACAGTACTACCTGTGCAGAGTTTGCATGTTCTCCCTGTGCCTGCGTGGGTTTCCTTTGGGCACTCCGGTTTCTTCTCACACAGACATGCTGGTAGGTTAATAGGCTCTGTCTAAATTTGCCCTAGTATGTGTATATATGAATGTAAGTTAGGGATCTTAGATTGTAAGCTCCTTGAGGGTTATGACTGATGAGAATGTACAATATATGTGTAAAGCGCTGTGCAAATTGACGGTGCTATACAAAAAGTACCTATAATATATAAATAGGGAGAAAAAGACCACTTTTAGAGTGAAGGCCTGCTTTAGAAGCCATTTTAATCAAATGAACAACATATACACTGGGATACTTAGATGAATTTCGCCTCAAAAAAAAAAAAAAAAAAAAAAAAAACCAGCATGTATTCCCTTTGTGAGCACACTGTTTCTAACATATAGGGTGTCTTTATTGGATATTAGGTGAATTTCTTTACATGCTTCATTCATTAATTTCCCCTCTACTTTCTTTAAAGTGAACATTCTGACCAACAGTTCTTCTGCACTGCAAAGAGCAAAAAAGTCTGGTGGTCTGATGACAGGAGACAAAAAGGTAAGACAAAGGCTCTACACCAGTTTATTACAGCTGTATTTTTAAGCCAGATGTGTGCACAAGAATTTTCCCACAGGAAAAGAAAGGAATGTTGATGGCCATCCTTTGTTTAATGAGCCTACAGTCTAAGAATTTACATCTCAGGTTAAAAACAAAATAAAAACACCACACACACACACACACACACACACACACACACACACACACACACACACACACACACACACACACACACACACACACACACTAAAAATTAAAAAAAAAAAAAAAAAAAACGGTTACACAAACTAAAGGGGTTGTTCAATCAATATGTGGAGTATCCTTTAACCACTTGAGCTCCAGAGGATTTACCCCCCTTAATGACTCGGCGCTGCACTAATTCAACTGATAATTGCGCGGTCATGCAATGCTGCACCCAAACGAAATTAACATCCTTTTTTTCACACAAATAGAGCTTTCTTTCAGTGGTATTTGATCACCTGTGCGCTTTTTATTTTTCACGCTATAAACAAAAAAGCCAAAAATTTTGAAGAAATATTTACTTTCCGCTGTAAAAAAATTATATAGTAAACTCAAAGTTGTATAAGTGTATATTGATTGCTTTGTGTGAAAGTTATAGTGTCTACAAACTATGGTATAGATACTGCAATTTACGCTTTTTTTGCTTACATAATAATTCAATAATGTAATTATTATTATTACAGCATTTATAAAGCGGCAATAGTTCGCTCAGCGCTGTACATTACAAAGGGAGACAGAACATGCGACAGTACGAAAACAAAACAATGTGATACACGAGGGGTTCGAGGGCCCTACTCTTTCGAGCTTACAATCTAGAAGAATCAAACCAAAAACACTGAAAATTTGTCCAAGCAAGGGTGTTATATTACTAGGCACTGCATATTGGTTTAGTAAACCTCCCAGGTATGAAAATTTTGAAACATGGGACTGCACAAAGTCTGACTTCACAATCAGGACCATGGAACCTGGTTTCCTTTCCGATTTTCTTTCCACTGTCATCTCGCTTCAAGCAACAAACAACGCACATTATTGTAGGTGCTGACTTTCTCGGTTGGTGGGATGCAGTCCACGAAGGGACGACCAGTCAGGCGTTCCGGGTTGACAACACCAACAACACGGTGACCTCTATTCACAGCTATTGATGGTGTTTGGTGGTTCACAAAGATACGTTCAGCAATTTTCCAAATGAGGTCAGCATGAATCACATGCTTGTCACTTTTTTGAGCAGAATGTAGGCATTCCACAAGCATTGCTCAAGAAGATGCCTGAAGATCTTCTTGTAGTACTTCTTTTGCAGTTTCCTCATTGCTTGGTAGAATGTCACTGCTTAGTCGGCTCTGTCGACACCTCCCATGGTGTTATTGTAGTCTATCACTACTTGTGGCTTCATGATTTCTTTCCCACTTTTTGTGTGTGTACCATAACAGTGGAAGCATTATGAATCATACTCATTCGGCACACTTCTTTGTCACGCCATCGCAGTGTCATCATTTTGCCTTTCTGCCAGGCAACCATTTCTCCAGTCTTCAGCTTCTTGTTGCCAAACATTGGCAGCATGTCACTCTGGTTAGCCCTAACGGTTCCATAGGCATCTGTTTTGTTTTGCAGAAGAAACTCAAAGTTCAGGTGATGTTTAAAAGTTGTCGGTTGTTACGCAACAGCCCTGATTTAGCAATGGCTCAATTCTTGAAAGAACGGAAGATATTGCCATTCCATAGTTGCTGTATTTTGGATTGAATTGTGTTCCTTTTCCAGTGTATATATCTGAATTCCAAAAGTAGCCAGTTGATGATTCGCATAGCATGTAGGATTTTACGCCAAATTGTGCTCTTTGATACAATGTATTGTACCCAGCTGAGCCTTCCCTTGTAGGCCATTAGACTTTCATCTATGCCGATATCTTTCTGGCACATAGCTCAGTTGGAAATTCTTTAGAATCATTTGAGATACTGCCCAAATTTTCTTTAGTTTTGGTGCAGGATAAGTAGTTTCAAATTCTTCCTTGTTTTTGAAGTGTAAAAATTTCATGATCAGGGAAAATCTGTACTCTGACATGACCGTGGCAAAAAAAACAAAAAAAAAAAAAAAAAAAAAAAAAAAGGAGTTGTCCAATATCACTTCTGCAGGGGTTTCCCCACCACTCCCTGAAGTATTATTAGGCCCAGAAATTTCCAAATGTCATCTATGGTCACTGGTTCCCACTTTCTGCTTCTTGGAAACTTCTGATGCAGAGTAGTCAATTGTTGCTCTTGGTACCGGTTTATATCAGTAACTATTTTTTCAATAACCTCATCAGTCAGAAATAATTGTAAGTATGCCAAGGGGTTGCCGTGTTCAACGTCTATTTTCATACCAGATGCTCCAGTAAATGGGAATCTTGGGGGCGGTGCCTGATCCGTACCACAGTCAATAGAGTCAAAGTTTGCATATCGCTTAGCTCGGTCGTAGAATTGGCGTGGTCGTCACTTTCAGTGTCTGATGACAAATTTCCCCATAAAGCACTATCGCTCAATTCTACAAAACTATTCTAATTCACTGTCACCATCTTCTAGCTGGTCTAAAACCACTTTTGACCTAAAAGGGATGCTTTTTGGATGCCATGGACGGTCTCAAGTTTTCAGGCAGAAAGAATGGTAAAACTGCAGGCAGGGCACTGGACAATGAACTAGGGACAAAACGTGGTGAAATGGTTTGATACAGTAATGTAATCCTAATAGATTACAATGTATTGAGTATGTCATATTATAACTTTTTTGAATCTCCCGCCGGTTCCGCCTCCCTGCGTCCCGACGCTTGCAGGGAAGGGAACCTGGAAGACAGATGCCGGCTCCGGCCGGAGGACATCGGGGGGGGATCGCAGGACAAATGCTACAGTGTAATCCCAAGTGTGGCTCGGGGTTACTGCTTTTGGTACTGAAAATTAACCCCGAGCCACACTCAGGATTACCGCTAGGAAGGTTAAAGATAAAAAGTATAACTCAAGTAAACATCTAAAGCAAACAGATATGCATTATAATAAAATCATATCATCTGTCTGGGCTAGAGACACCAAATGCAGAAGAGAACCAAATCATGAACTTACGGGAGCTGCTCTAGGATGGTCAGAAGTCCACTAGGTACATCAGTTTCACCTGGTTTGAACTTTTTGTAATCGACCACCATCCACTGGTTGTTGTATCTAACAGGAAATTTGTATAGGGCAGACAGCAAGAGTTATTGAAGGTCACTTAATACAAACACAATATGATCTAATAAGATATGAAATTACTTCCACTGGAATTTGTTAGACTGCAAATGTGCAGTAACTACTCTGATTACAATAAATTGTTAAAGCTAAAATCTAGTTAAGAGCCAAAACAAAGTTTGTGAAAGGTTAGCACCCTTGTCAAGGGTTTATTGCAGTCTATGTCCCAGCTAAAGGTACAAAAACAAAAATGCAATCTCACCTGTGTAAAATTACATTTTCAGAGAAACTACCAATGTAATGGATTAATACAGTGTAGCAATGCATTGTTGCACTGTAGCCACTATATCATTCATATTTAGATGCAGAAAAAAAAAAAATGGAGAGGAGGTGGCAATACAAGACCAGTGACCCTGCACAAGGAGAGAGAGCAGCAATGAATGGTCTTCATACAGGAAGCTCCTAGATAGAGGCAAAGCTTTACACCGGATTATTGCATAGATCTGGAATAAATACACAAAGTACACCAAGATTCAAGTAAAAAAAAAAAAAAACGCCCATGTCCCTTGTACTTAGAACTATTTAAAGCGCAATTCTGGGTGAACAATTATCTGACTGTTTGTCCAGCGATTTACTCCACACTTGACATAAAACCACAGAACACGCATAACTGAAAATTTTCTTGCTTTGCAACTTTTAGAAACAGGTTCTCTTTACTCAAACTCACTACCCAAGAGTGCGGTAAAGATCAAAGCAGAATGTATTGAGCAAAAAAGCAAGAAACTGATCCGTCCTCTAATTAAAGAGAACCTACCACTAGCCTAGAAATTGTAAATAGCAATGCATCAGGTTTAGATAACTGATCCTTGATCCCATAAAACCCTATGATACAGCCAGTTTTTTTTTTTTTTTTTTTGCATCTTTCTGCACATGCACAAACGATTTCAGCCTGATAAAAGCAGCAAAGCTAAATAAGAAAAGTAAACAAAAAAATTAAAACCAAAAAATGAAAAAAGGCAAATGTAAGCTGTTCTCATTTAGTTTGTGCACTCAGGTAGGGAAAGGGTTCATCTATCTGATGCAAGGTTTTGGGCAGGTGAAAGCCTTGGCAGTGCTGGATCTGCTGTGAGACTATAAAGCAGGGGAAGCAACCTTAAAGAGGTGGAGATATACCTGAACAACATGGGAGAAGTCAAAAGATCACTGGGCACAGTGTTGCCTCCTTACACCTAATTTAAACCACTAATTACCATACTACCGTGTCACAATTGTGTGCATTGCAAAGCAATCATGGGTTTAAATCAGGTGATGAGGAGGCAACATATCACCTTCTTACCACCTATCAAACGCACAGGAATCGCTTTGCAGAGGAGCTGCAGTGCCTACTGCACATGTGAATGAGCTCTTAGTTGTAAAATCGGCAGCAGCAGCACCCAAGGGCTTGATCACATGTAAAGTTGTGGGGTGGTAAAACCCTGCGGTTGAATCACAACCACCCCTCCCCCAGTCCCTACTCCCTTTAGCTGCTGAGGGAGCAGCCAAAAGTTGTCCACATGCTGCAGCAGGAATTACACCCCTGTTGCTTTTGGTGGGCGCTACTGCCTATCAACCAAGACCCATTCAAGTAAATGGGCCACTCTGCAAGTGCCCTGCAAGTGCATGCTTCTGCAGGTCCAAGGGTTTAATGCAACACACTGTTTCCTGTACTGCACAAGGTTGCAGGGAAATTGCAGAGCAGCCTCATTCACTTGAATGGGTCATGCTTGGCAGGTGCTACAACCCCCACCACGTCAGGGCGTAGCAGCCAACACTACAGAGGAGACCTCAACTTATGCAGCTCTTGCTCCCTACTAAAGCTCCAACTTTACAAGTAGTTCCTCTGCACTGCACTCTGATGCTTTTGGATGGAGTATCAGCAAGCCCAGACCGTGATCTAACAGTCACCTGGCCAAGATCTACTGGTAGAGCACGATCTACTGGTTGCTGACCCTACTATAAAGTGTCAATTTGTTGGTAGGTGCCATTTTACTATATTGTTGGTAGCTGCTCTTTAAATATACTTGTCTACTTACGTTCCACTATTAAACCTGGTGAAAACATCAGCCCACTCTTGTCCTCCTGTTGCTAGCCTGTTTGCTACAATATTCCGTAGCCACTCCAGAACAGAATTTTTTGGAGTGATATACTTCCACAGATCTGGATTACTATTGCCAATGGTTGTCTCCAGGCTAACCTGCAAAAAACAACAAGAGCGATAAAAAATAAGTAAATATTACAATCTCTGTATACATCTTCCCCAATTATTTTCTAGAGTTTGTCGATTTAGATATAGGTAGTGTTAACATATGCGCTTTTGACGGGTTTACTTTAAAGTTGAATTACAAAAGAGATATAAAAAAAAAAAAAACACAAAAATTGATGCAGGTTTGTAAATGTTCACTGTATATACACATGCAAGTACCTGACTATTAGTATTGGTATGGCATTACAGTCCACAAAGAGCAAAGGTGAGACTGGGGGAAGGAGAAGCAGCACAAGGAGCCAATCAGTTGTGCTGCAGTGCAAGGTCCATGTCAACCGGAGGAGAGGGAACAGTGATAGCGAGGAGAGCTCAATTTGCTGCTTCTCCTTTAACTGACCAGTCACAGCCTGGAGAAGACTACCTGTATTACTGAACTACAGCACAGAAAAACTAAAGTTTTCTGCCCCGCCAGACAGGACTGTGCTGTTTAACAGAGCTATCTAAATCCTAAAACTAGAGGGAGAGAAAAGCAAAATTTGACAGGCAACACATCCCCCATATATACACACATTTTGTTCACACATCGGTTTATGTAGCCGCTTGCCTGAAATTCAGCTTTAAAAATGGTAAAAGATTTATGTATAAATTATCCTTTAAAATTAACCCAACTCACCCCTGCTCAGCACTGTTCTGCAAAGACTTCTATTCACCCGTCCACATTACACAAAGATCCACCCTGAGGCTCATAGGGAGCCACACAGCCATTACCGCAAACTCTCTACCCAGTGATTGGGTTTTTTCTGCACACCCAGAGAAAAAATACTTTTCATTTCTATAGACAGGTCTTCTCTCACTGGGGTGTAAAATAGATAGCTTTTCTATATGGATGAGAAGGATTTCCTGTGTGTTAACTAGCAAAGTTCACCTTCAAAGATGCTCCTATCTGGAAGCAACGCTTCTGCTGCTCAAGGACAATTCACAAATTCCATGGGCCCTCTATAATGTTTGCTTATAAAGTTTCTTGAAGTATCACTTTCACTCAGCCTCCATCAGCCAATCTTATGGCCTAGGATGATAAACAAGCCTGTAATAAAACCTGCTGCATCAATGCTTCTGTCTATGGTGAAAAAGGTACCGCACTCTACCACTTTGAACAGAAACATTGCAGAGGTATGATAGGGCCTTCTCTCAATTTGAGGCGGTGATCATATGAAGAAAACACAATATTTGTCTGTTGTAGAAATCATTGCTGGGCTAGCTGCTGAAATGAAAAGATTAGCAGTAAGATTAAAGTAGAATTCCAGCCTAAACCCAACTGGTCTTCTCTTCCCTGCTACCAGTCTTCTGACATCTATGCTAATCAACCTGTACATAAAAAAAAAAAAAAAAAAAAAGGAAGAAAAGGGTGGGGGGGGGGGGGGGGGGGGGGGGGGGGGAAGAGAAGTATACACAATTTACAATCTCAGGTCTGATCATGTGATCTAGCTCCAGCTGCAAAAGAGGAGGGAGTGCTGGCAATGGCTGGAACATCGGAGGCTATGGGTGATACTACCACTCCTGGATTTACCAGCCGTTGTTTACCGTTCCCTCCTCCTCTCCCCTTCAGCTGCCACTGATTGGACCAGAGCCAACTGAAAATAGTCAGCATAGGTGTTAGGAGGGAGGGGACATTAGTAGGACTATTTACATTTTAGCTAGAATTCTCATTTAAAAATATATGGGATTCCAAGTCTGACCTAATATACTGGGCATTCAAGTTCCCATCATGATTATCCACTGGTTTCAATGTATTCTGATAGATTTTGCAGGAGGCCTCATTTGACTAGCCGTGTCGAAACTAACATCAAGTGTCTGCACTCAGGGAAGCTGGTGAACCAGCATGACACAAGCAATTTGCATTTTCAGGTTCCCTATAACCAGCAGGGAGAACTGAAATCTGTGTTAGCTCTAATACAGGGCTTGCATGTCAGTCAAATTAATACTATCAAACAAATTTTTTACTATAAATTTAGTATAAACCTGGATCTTTAATACTCACTAGACCACTGCTTATAATGTAGAAATCATCACCAGAGAAGATAGCGCCTGGGTACGATGAGAATGTCTGCACCGATCCTGGTACCACAGGGCCCCCTAAGAACACAAAATAAATGATTTGGTCAAAACAAACATTCCATATACATTACTGTTAAAAGCACAAGGGTAAACTAGTTTATCACTGCACTCCTTTACAGTCCATACAGAATAAAAAAAAAAAAAAAAAATACACCTTTCAATGCAGAAGAAAATCATCAACCCTCACCATTTGGAGATCTACGAAAGGGAAGAGTATATTTCTTGATTATCCGCAACATGGACTGGTAGGTATTCCAGGTGACATGAGACACCAGAAGCTCCTTATTGCCAGGTAGAAGTTTGATGAGTGCTGAGCAAGATCCTGAGCCTAGCGGTTTCTTAGCATCAGACTTATTCAGAGCAGCTTCCAAATCTTCTAGGTCTCCACCAAGTTGAAAAAGCCTGTCCAATAGCAGAGAGGGAGAGAAGAAAAAAAAAAAAAAAAAAACTACTATCCATGTATCTTTTGCAATTTTTCTCACTTCCCCATTTTGGAGAACCATGGACACAAGGGAAAAAAAAAAAAACAGAGGAGAAATCTCTCAAAAAGAAGCACAGTTTTAAACATCCTACAGGGTTAACTCTGTCCTTTCCTATTCAAACCATGTCAGGGTGCGATTCATTTCTGATTTATATGAACAAACCTTGTTATGGTAAATACAGTGGATATAAAAAGTCTACACACCACTGTTAAAAGGTCAGGTTTCTGGGATGTAAAAATATGAGACAAAGATACATAATTTCAGAACTTTTTCCACCTTTATAATGTAACCTATAAACTGTACAACTCAGTTGAAAAACAAACTGAAATCTTTTAGGTTGAGGAAAGTAAAAATAAAAAACTAAAATAAATGTGGTCGTACAAGTGTGCACACTCTTATAACTGGGGATGTAGCTGTGTTCAGAATTAAGCAATCACATTCAAAATCATGTTAAATAGGAGTCAGTACACCTCTGCCATCATTCAAAGTGCCTCTCATTAACCCCAAATAAAGTTTAGCTGTTCTAGTAGGTCTTTCCTGACATTTTCTTAGTTGCATCCTACAGCAAAAGCCAGGGTCTGCAGAGGGCAACCAAAGCATTAGAGGGATCTCATTGTTAAAAGGTATCAGTCAGGAGATGGGTACAAAAGAATTTCCAAGGCATTAGATATACATTGGAACAGCGTGAAGACAGTCATCAAGTGGAGAAACTATGGAGCAACAGTGACATTACCAAGAACTGGAAGTCACTCCAAAATTGATGAAAAGACGAGAAGAAAACTGGTCTGGGAGGCTGCCAAGAGACCTACAGCAACACTAAAGGAACTGTAGGAACATCTGACAAGTACTGGCTGTGTGGTACATGTGACAACAATCTCCTGTATTCTACATATGTCTAGGCTATGGGTTTAGAGTGGCAAGATGGAAGCCTTTTCTTACGAAGAAACAAAACACATCTAAAGTCTCCCAAAAGCATGTGAGAAAATGTGTTATGGTCTGATGAAACCAAGGCTGAACTTTTTGGCCATAATTCCAAAAGATATGTTTGGCACAAAAACAACACTGCACATCACCAAAAGAACACCATACCCACAGTGAAGCATGGTGGTGGCAGCATCATGCTTTGGGGCGGTTTTTCTTCAGCTGGAACTGGGGCCTTAGTCAAGGGAGAGAAATTTATGAACAGTTCCAAATACCAGTCAATACTGGCACAAATCCTTCAGGCTTCTGCTAAAAAGTTGAACATGAAGAGGAACTTCATCGTTCAGCATGACAACGACCCAAAGCATACATCCAAATCAACAAAGGAATGGCTTCATTAGAAGATTTAAGTTTTGGAATGGCCCAGCCAGAGCTTAGACCTGAATCCGATCGAAAATCTGAGGTGATCTGATTTGGAGTGTTTTGCAGGGAAGAGTGGGCAAATATTGCCAAGTCAAGATGTGCCATGCTGACAGACTCATACCCAAAAATACTGAGTGATGGAATAAAATCAAAAGGTGCTTCAACAAAGTATTAGTTTAAGGGTGTGCACACTTCTGCAACCATATTTTAGTTTTTTATTTTTACTTTCCTCCACCTAAAAGATTTCAGTTTGTTGTTCAACTGAGTTGTACAGTTTATAGGTTACATTAAAAGGTGGAAAAAAGTTCTGAAATGATTTCTTTGTCTCATTTGTTTTTTTTTTTTTACACCCCAGGAACCTGACATGTTAACAGGGGTGTGTAGACTTTTTATATCCACTGCAATTCTGCTTATTGACATGACAGATATGTGAGTAATTAAAGTGGTTCTAAAGCCTTATTTTTTTACCTTTATGCATTCTATGTGTTATGGTGAATAACCTTCTTCCCCCCCCCCCCCCCCCCCATGCTTACCTAAGGTCTATCGCAATCCCTGGATGTGCAGAAGAGCTAAGGCTCTGCTCTGTCTCATTTCAAAGAGCAATTCATTAGCAGTGGAAGCCATTGGCCATTCCTGAAGAGGAAGATTGGGGCTGCTCTGTGTAAAACCATTGCTGCTCAGAGTAGGTAAGTTTGTTATTTGAATGATTAAAAAAAAAAAAAGTCAGAAGCATTATATTCACTTTGACCATGTTAGACTTTATAAACAGTAGCAAGAACAAAGCAGTATTAAACCCAAAACCACAAATGTAACATACTGCAGCTTACCAGCCATTAGATGTGATGGCTGTATTCGTTTTTACAGTGTTATCCCCCTTTTGTTTTCACCTGGTGATCTGGCCAGTAATACACCTCCTAGATGAATGCGCACAACATATTTGGACAGAAGCATTGTCAATTTTGAGGGGGGGGGTGGGAATGGAGTGAGGGTACTCTTAAAGTTCAGTGTATGTACTGAAATTCTGATAGTACAAGTTAAAGCTGAGCTCTAGCTGTGACAAACGCGAGACCCCTGACCTTCTCACCAAACTTGTAACGGAAGGACTGGCCAATCTAAAACCGCGATGTCACGTGCGTAACAATGCCACGCCCTGCTGCACCCTGCACAACGCTTTTCCAGCAAATTGGACCACAATCTATGTACCGGCAGCCTGGAAGCGATTGTTACTGGGTCAGGTTAATTACGCAATTAACCCTTCACACTGCCACCACCTCCTTTTTGTACAGAGAAAGAGGAAACTTGGCAATATCAGCAATAACACTATAATGGTTGAGATAATCATCTGCATAACATGTCACCGCAGGCCGGATATACAGAGGGTTAAACAGAGTAGCGCTCTTTTTAGAGGCAGGAATTCGTAAATTGCAATAAAGAGCTATAGAAACAGTTCAACACTTTCAGAAGGAAAGATTATTAAAAGGTCAAAAGGGTGCAATAAAAATATTTACAGAAAAAGATGCAACACATACATACATATATATATATATATATATATATATATATATATATATATTATATATATATATATATTTTTATTCACACATATACTCAGAGAGCAACCGCACAGCAAAGAGATAGAGAGGCGTTAGAAGGTTAAAGTACTTGCCAAAGTCCTGGGTTAGCAGATCAAGTTTCAGAGCGAAAGGGCAGTCTCCCAGGTTGGTTCTGATGTTAAACGGGAGAATTCTTCAACTTACTCTCTTAGGCCTGACAGTTCCCCAGCAGAGGGTGCCTCTGAAGTCAAGGGCCAATACCCCGTTTAGCGCGGGAAGGTCTGGGCATAGACCTAAACTAGAGCCAGAATCTTATAGTTCATATTTTGGCTCATAACTTTTCCTATGCACAAGTGACATTCCACCCGCAGGTAGATTATTATGCAGACACATCTGAGGATTGATTAGACATGAAATATGAAAGTCTACACTGAATGGTTCACGAGATCTACTTTTCTGCTTTCCTATGTATTCCAGCAAAGGAGAGTGACCTATCAAACTGTTCGTCTCCTCTAGGCCAATCTGAAGATATGCCTGGTTTTTATGCAAGTCCCTCATATTCCAAGATATGAGACATAGGGGAAAAATGGATTTTAAAAGTGCTATCTGGGCTGTGCTTAGCTGGAATCTCTTTGAACTCCTGGTAAGGCTAGCATTAGCTTTTACGAGGTGCTGTATGTCACAGCTTCCTCAGACAACCAGGCACTCAGCTCAAAAAGGTTTTATAGCTCTGGGCTCCATGCTGTGCCCTGCCCGGCCTGTGCCACTCCTAATACACAGGCCATATATCAATGTGTATGAACAGAGAGGGAAGGGGGAGAAGGAGGGGGAAATAGGTTTGTCAGGATGGTTAACCCCTTTGCCAAGATGGAGGTTGAAGCCAAAATGGTTGAACCGCGTCCATCTCTGGGTGTACGCCTGCCACACTAGCCAACACTTAAACAGTTACAGCAAGTTTTGTTCCTTTTGGGACAAAGATTTTACACAATTAAAAGCTGACCATTGTAAGTACCCTTGTGAGTGGTAAATGGTTTGGCTCAACCCCATAACTGCTACATCTTCCGGACAGCTTGTTCTGTTAAAAAAACAGACTTACTGGCCAGAAAAGAATAGGAATCTTAAAGAAAAAAAAAATATTTTAAAATGTTTGCTTTGGATTTAATACCAGTAAGTAAATGACACCAGCACTGCAGCACACTGTTACACACCTTAATGCTTTAGTACACATTATGGTGCTGTGTGTCAAAAAAGCATAGATGTATTTTGTCCACTCTGTTGTATTGGCAGCCCATTAAGATGAATAAACTGCCATAATGCGCATTAACACAATAAGTAAATAAATGAATATAAATTAACTTTAAAGCCTCATGCACATGGATAGTAAGTGGCTGAGAATAAGCCGGGTGTAAAATTCCAGGCCATAGACTTTAACACTTACAGCTTCTGTGTTTGGGAAATACGTTTTTAAATAAAATCTAATTGAGGTACCTGAACCTGACCAAAAGAGAAGCCAGTAATTCCATGCAAAGCAGATTTCAGACTGGCAGGGGAGGAGGGCTTGCCAGAGAGAAGAAAAATGGGAGTCAAATAAGGGGCGTTCCATGGAAATATGCTTTTAGCCCATGGTCCTAAATTGGGGCTACTAGGTCAATTCTGTTTTTGGCTGGGCTGTAGGCAGCTCAGACTAGTTCTATAGATTGTACTTGCTCTTTCCCAAAGCTCAGCTGGGTTGTGAATTTCTCACTGTCACCTATACCACAGGCCATGGTATGGAATTTCAAAAAACAGGCTGAGATATGAATAAGTATATTTCCTTCAACTAGCCCAAGAGATTCATGGCCACAGATGCATGCTGGGGAAGGATATAGAGATAGATTAGATATATCTGGGAACATCCATATGCTAGCTACTCTTGCTGAGGCCCGAGCAGGTGCTCCTTGAGGGAGCTCTGTGATTAGGCCCAGAAGCCTACGTACACCGAGATGGTCCTGAGGCTGTTCTGCCTGGTGTGGAGGAAGCTGAGCCAAGATGGAAGATCCAGGGGAGGCCCCTTAAAAGAGAATCAGAATAAAGGCTGGTCTCTCAGAAGGCCCTGGTGACTTGCTTAGAGGACACACTGGAATCTGAAAACGCTCTTGCAGTGTTGCCAGGCCAGCTAAAAAGACATTGTAAAGCAGGACTTTGTTCTGGATCTGAAGAGTCTAAGTGATCTACTGTGGTATCTGGGACCCCTAACCCTCACTCCCTTTACCTCCACCTCAGTTCGACATTTAAATTTCAGAGAAAAACAAACCGTGACTGGCGCCCAATTTCGGTTCAGGATCCCCCTATTATAGCCATGGACTCAGTCCTGGGGTAAATGCTGGCTCGCTCCCTGCCTTTGGAGGTATTATCCTGCCTTTAGGGTACCAGGGGAGTGCTACAAAAGCTCATAAAAGAAGAGAGCAGAGCGAGTAAAAAAGGGACATCAGTCACCTGCTGCTTCTTTGGTTTTTCAATCAGAAGATTGGGGCAGAATGGTGCCAGTAGTGTGGAAAAGAAATACAAATCTTTTGGAAGGTAAAATAACTGATATGTATTTAATCGATGTAATTCAAACTTTGCATAAAGTTCAGCTTTAGAACCTATACCAACCCACCTTCCCCAGCTCTCCACAATTATCCTAAAATAAAAACCCACATCCCAGCTTTTTACTTTCTTCTGTGGCACAGCTGCCATCTTGTTTACTGAATCTTTCCTTTTAAGCAATGTTTGCATTAATGTTGTGAGCCTTCGCAGACTTGTATAGAGGCACATTTAGAGACTAACCATGTTCACGAGAGACTACCAATGTTCACAAAAGGCCACATACAAGTCTACAAGGGCACACTACACAGGCAGCGGGACATTTATAAACTTGTGAAAAGAAAGAATGTTCTCAAGCAGTCCCCACAATTTGTTAGTCAGCAAACTCCTTGGATTCCATTAGGCTTCTAGATTTGATTAAGTGGATCATTAAAGTTGAACACTCAAGTACTTTAAGAGGGGACCAGAACATCAATATCACTCTTATGGGCCCTCTTCAAAAGTGGAACTTGCAATATGTGAGTCTAAATTTCTATCAGGACTAAGCTGTAAAATGATTTCCTAGTGTAGCGGTTTTCCTGGAATCCCAATAGTGCATTATGCACACAAATTATAAGTGCAATTCATAATTATAACAGTTTTGCAATACTTACAAAAACCCAAAGGGATTTAGTGTGAATGTCTTCCAAGGAAAGGAAATAACTTCATTGTAGCTGTCTTCTAGGCCTTTCAGCTGAAGCAGTGCAAGTCGAACCTGCAAAAAATACAGGCCTTATAAAATCCAGTTGTTCGAAAAGACTATGGTTTTTTACTATCTAGTAGGAACCTGTCACATGCAAAATGCCTTTGTGAAAAGCTGTTGGTGAGAACTATTTTCAGACTTGCATGCAGACACACAAAGTTGAGCTGCAGTAAAGTCACTACCATGAACTTTTGGGACTTTTCCCAAGGTATCCCAAATGGTTTTTTTTTGGCAAAAACTGAATTTTTGGAACTGAAAATAAAACAAAAGAAAACGACCAGAGGACACACTCTCTAGCAATCAAATGTCAAGTTGCATAATAAAAGGACTAACCATTAGGCTTCAGCCAAGTATGTTATCCCTCCATATAGTAGCTACAGCAACTGGTGGCAATGAAGGATCAGGAGCAGTGTGGGGAAATCTGATGCCAGCCGGAAGAGACAGCATTGGAACCAGTGGAGAACAACGTTGTGTCGGTAGCATGAAGTGGGAGTGGCTACGTTTTTGAGGATGCCCTGCCTCTTTGTCAAGCACTTTGCAATATCCACAAAAGATTCCGATCATTACTCTGTAATAACTGGCCGCTTCCCTGGTAAACTCTGTCAGTGGTCCTGGGTCCATCTGACAAGAATCCCTTGAAGCACTCTGTTAGTATGATGTTCCTACCTTTATTGACCTACTTGTGAGTGCATATACCATTTTACCTTTTGTTTTAATAAAATCTACACTTAGATGGTCAGCGCTCTGCATTTCCCTTTTTTTTCAATATTCAACCCTGCATGTGCCTAATCTGAACTTTGCCAAAACCAGTCTTGCTGCTTAATCTTTTTATGCCGAAGTTATCCACACACACACACACACACACACGCACACACACACCCACCTTGAGCCATATATGCTTGCGCTTAGTAAAATGGGGTGAAGCTCTGCTGACTTCGATCATCCAATTGTGTGCAAGCAAAAATGCGGTTTCCCCCCCCACATTTTCCTTGCATGTGATCGGGTATTCTTTGCAAAGTGAAGCTTTGCCAAGCTCTGGAGCAACTGCACTTGAAAAGTGCACTGTCCATTTGCCTTTAGTAAATTAACCCCTTAATGTTTCTTCTACCAGTAAAGAAAAAACCATAGAGTAAAAGAAAAACCATAGAGTAAAGAAAAACCATAGAGTAAAGAAAAACCATAGAGTAAAGAAAAACCATAGAGTAAAGAAAAACCATAGAGTAAAGAAAAACCATAGAGTAAAGAAAAACCATACCCCCCCAGCAATGTTTTACCTATTTAAACTAAAAACCTAAAAATTACTTAAGGAACGCAAAGAGTCATTATGTAATAACATTAACATTGCTTACTTGATGCCAGTAATCCTGATCTTGATGCACCTCCATTTGTTCCTGCATCCAAGCCAGATTGGCTGCTAGATAGTCTCGCAGGCGTTCACAGTATGGGGTTTCATATTTATAAGGACCACAGTAACCAAACATTGTGTTCATCCAGTGCATGTAGATTAGCTGCAGAGGAACGCAAGCAAGTCGTAAGAGTACTGCTTGTTACTAGAAGGTATTCACTTCCCTCAATGCCTATAGTGTACACTTTGAAAAATGTATTAAAGGGCTGACCAGCCCCTACATCAACTGAATTCATTGCAAGTAAAACTCATCTGAACTGTAGATATAACATAAGCCAATACATTAGAATTCATGTTAACCCACAAAATAATATACATCTTGTATAAAAACACATCACATAGTAATTTACTACATTTTTAAGTGAACTAAAAAAAAAAAAAAAAAAAAAAAAAAAAAAAAAAACCTTACTAGTTGAGGTGCAAATAAATTGATCCTTGAGGTTCTTTAAATTGATCCCTGTGACCCTGCTTCACCCTCTGCATCCTATGTACATACAGGCTGTACACAGGACCTTGTCTATATTCCTTTAATATCTGCTGATAGGCAAGAATTGTACTACTAAGGCTACACTAGCCTCTTGTATTTGATTTATAAAAACAGGAGAAATGATCTGGGAAGTATAAGCAAACTTTATGCTTTCCAGATGAACTAATCCTGAGCTTAAATGTGTTTGGCCACTATCAGAAACACCTGTCCATACCCACAGCTAATCCGGGCTGTGTACAGCCTATGCTAATGTGTATGAGCCATTAGAATGTATTTAGAATGCTCTATAAATGCATATAAACACTTCATTACCCATGTAAATGAGGCATAAGTCTTGTGGACTAACACCACAGCATTTGTGTGGACTGAATATTGTCAACCACACCCAGTTATATTGCCAAACTGTTCAGGCCTAGCTACTTAGAGGCTAGGTGCGAGGAGGGGTCAGGGTTTAAATTTGTATAAAGTTGATGGGCCATGTACAAACATTAAAATCCAAGGGGCTTCGTGGTGATAGTTTGGAAAGAAAACACAGGTACTTTCAAACCACCAGGTCCCTGCTTTGTTGTTACTTTTGGTGTTTTCAAGGCCAGTTCAGGGTCATTTTATTTTGGCTAATCTGAAAACTGCATAGCAACACAGTAGTATTGAATCAATACATTTTATTCTAAGGCCTCATGCACCCCAGTTTATTGAAAAATGCAGCTTCTCCTGACAGGAGAAAATCTGTGTTAGTAACTGTGGTTTTCAAACCACTTTAGCAGAGTTTAGCAGCGTTTAGGCATTTATTTAATTGGTCAGAATTTCATTTATTCTGGCTATTGAAATTAATAAATGCTGAAGTGCTCAACATGCCTAGCTTTAATGCAGCATTTAGCAGCATTATTTTTCTACCAAAACTCTGCTACCCATGGACACACTGGTAGTGGGTTATTTTCGGCCTCTAAACTCTCCTGCCACTAAACTCTGCTAAAAGCCTATGTATGTGTGGACTAACATGTAGGGGCATTTAGAGGCAGAAAAAAAAAAAAAACCCACAGAATAAAAAAAAAAAGCCAACGGTCCTAGGAGACATTATAAAAACATCCAATGTGCATAAGGCCTAAAAATGCTTGTGTGGCAAAGTTTAAAAGGATAAGTTCACATCTTTTCATAAAAAAAATATAAAAAAAAAATAAATAATAAATACACATCTTTTAACAAGTAAAAAACACCAAAAAGGTGCAATTATTATTTTATTTATTTTTTATTAGGAGTCTTTAAAGCATTACACACCTTGCAGATTGCGGGTGCAATTTCAGGCTCCTGCAGATCCCTGGCCCACTGTGACAATGGGGGCTTGGGAGGGGCTTGCAGGGGATGCTCATTTAGAAACACCCTGGATATGGGTGTAACATGTTATGAAGCTGAACTTATCCTTCAAAACTGGTACTCCTTCCAGCAAAAACAAACTCTACATTTGGTACATTTATACCATTATATTTATTTTACTTTAGGGAATACTGTAAAAGAAAAAAAAAAAAAAAAAAAAAAAAAAAAAAAAACACTGAAGGGCAAGAACTTCCATCAGAACCCTTTACTTCACTGAAGAAGCCTGGTAGAGGTTTATACCCTTCCACACAACATTTTAGCTGGAGTTGGGTTTTAAAAAAATAACTCTTCCTAAATATTTAAAACCTTTTTTGGATCAGGTGTATTCTCCAGTTTTGATTGATGGTTCAGCTGCAGATCAAAAGTGCATCTACTTCTAGTAATGCTGGCTGTAGCTCCATCCCAGTCTGAAGCCCAATTTAAAGACAACCCTGTGGGGACATGTACAGCTTGCACTGAGCCCTCGCCTCCTCTTTAAGCTAACTGCTGCCATACCATTATGAATATGCTTCCGGCTGCTAATAAACACACAATGCACCAGCAGATACATCACACAGCCCAGATAGCATGTTCTGTTCATCAAGAACCTTAAAAGATCATTCACTGATGCAGAGCTGACTGTGTGACCTTTCTGTGGCTACTTGTAAGCAAACACAGCCCCAGCAGACAGATCACACAGCCAGCTCTGCAGTGCTAAGCATGGTTTACAAAACAGGCAGTGCTGTCAGGGCTGGTGCCAATCTATCTCCCGGAGCTGCATAGCTTACAGAGCTGATACATTTTATAATACAAACTGTTAAGATACTTTTAGACTTAATAAATTGCAGTTTATGTCAACCCAAAACTAGATTACAGCTGGTCATACAAACTGTCAATATGACATTAGTCTCAGAGGTAATTTATTACACTGCAGCAGCAATCTGATAATTATTTCATCAAAATCACTTGATAATTTACCAGACGTCTTGGAAAATGTAGTCCCAAAATGGCTCTGAATGACTGCCATTCATTCATTTCAGGATGGTGGATGTTTTCTCAGTTTGAAATATGGTAAATCTGTCTGATCATAGCCACTGAATACCACATCTGGATGGCTAAAGCAGTGTACGCTTTAAAAAAACAAAACTAACCTTACGTTTCGAGCCACATTTCAAATAACCCTGCATCTTGGAATCCCTTAGTTCAGGCATGCAGGTGGAGGGTGTCCTTAGCTGAGAAAACCTCCCTCACCCCTTCTCCAGATGACTGATTGCAAAAAAAAAAAAAAAAAATGCCCATGAAGATTGCAGGGATGTATGACGTCATTTTGACATACATACATACATACATACATAGAGTAAAAAGAGGTTAAAACAAATAAATATATTTGTTTATACTTAAAGCAGAGTTCCATCTAAAAAAATAAATAAAAGTCAGCAGCTACAAAAACTGTAGCTGCTGACTAATAAAATACAGCCACTTACCTGTGCCTCGTTCCAGCGGTGTCCTCACCACAGCTGGTTTCACCTCTTCACTCTTCTTTCCTTGGTGCAGGCATCTTCAGTGTGGGCACCCGGCTGTGACAGCTTGTGGCTTCACAGCCGGGATGTGCACGGCGCATGCGCGAGAAGCGCTACGCTTTGTGAATGGCCCGTAGTCTTCTGGGACCTATCACTTGTCCCAGAAGACTGCAGCGACTGGTGAGGACAACCTCAGCTTCCGACCACCTAGGCAATTGCAGCGGAAGTGGGAGCGGGTACCTGTCAAATTCGGGTACCCCCCGCTCCCCAAAAGGTGCCAATCCTTAATGGGGAGTGGGGGACAAAAGGCTTAAAATGGAACTTGCCCTTTTGGGTGGAACTCCGCTTTAATATACTTTCCTATTTATTTACGAAGGCTAGTAGCATAAGGAGTAAAGTTCAGCTTTAACAGCACATGGCCAATATCTGAGACTTAGATTTCCATGCTTAAACCAACAGTGACCGATAAAAGTCTGGTTGTGATAAAACACTGGAATGCGTACACATCAGCAAATATAGAAAACACTTACCCGCTGAGAGACAGCAGCTTCAGCCACCCCTGCAGCATATGCCTGAATACTGTCATTATACTGGCCATTGGTCTGCACCTCTAGAACAGCCCACCTGGAATATACAGTACATCAATAAGACATGTACAATATGAACAAGTGAGGAACAGTATTGGCACCCATTGTACACAGTACTTCCTATTAAATAGCAAATGAAAAGTATTACTTTCCGAAAATCATTTATTATAAGAACATTTTTCTTTGTATTTTACAACAAAAGAGTGGGGCTGCCATAAAAATCTGAAACATTAAACTGACATTAATCACACATTAGGAGATCCTGTTCTAGAATTGTATCAAGCGGTCTATTGCAAAATGACACGGATATCAACAGAAGCCTGCTCTACTATGCAGTAGCTGTAAATGTTCTGAAATCATTTCCAGGGGGGGGCAGCGCCATAGTAGAGGTGATTATAGAATGGGGAGCCCCACCTTTTTTTTTTTTTAAATAGTGGATACTAGCACATTATGAAAGACTTACCCAAGAACGAAGCCCTCCAGCTGAGCGCTGTCACAGCTCCCTGAGGCCTCCATCTTCGCCCGGTCTGCCTTCCGGATTGACTGGCCGAGCTGTGATGACGTCACTCCCGCGCATGCGTTTCAGCTGCGGCATGGCACACCGTCCATTGAGAGTGCAGTGCGCATGCACCTGTGACATCACCGGTGCTGCTACAGTAAATATCTCCTAAACAATGCATGTTTAGGAAATCTTTATAGTACTTACAGGTAAATTTTATTAAAGGCTTACCTGTAGGTATAAACATATAAAATAGGGGTTTACTTCCACTTGAACAGCCTTGCCCCTCTGATCTCCACCTCAAATGCAACTTGTGTTCAAATTACACAGGTTCATTTCTAATTGGCGTTCGCCAAATGCTATTGCTACCTGTTTAGCGACCGTCATGAAGCAGAATGAGGGCTGCCATTGCTAGTCTCCTTCTGAAAACACTAGTTACCTGGATGCCTGACTTAAAGGGTTTCTTCTTCTTTTCACAAAAAAAGAAGACAAACTCCCTGCCCCTCTGGACCCCGCTGCATGTACATTAAATGCGCCTCATTTTCCACCACCCTCCGCAGCTGATATAATTGCACGGCCCTTTAAAACATCACTACACAGCATAAAGGGAGTGCTCAC